ACAGCAAATTTTTATGGCTTCCAGCTTTGACCAGCACATTCCCTCATGTTCAATGGCTACCTACAGCTTTACTTTGATCTTAACAAGTGAAAGTAATTTATGCTGTATGTAAATTTTAGCATAGCCACAAAGGATGCACTGCTTTTGCAGTGGGAGAAAGAGATAATAAGCCAGAAGAGGAAGGGATGGGTCTTTTATAGCAATGTACAAACGTGCTAGAGTAGTGGCCCTGACAAAAGACCAAGATATTCCTTTCACAAACAAATCCTAAGAGGAGAAAGCTACCTGTAGTTTTCTTACCAAAAAGATACCTCAGTTTGTGCTAGGATTTTCCAGGGACTTTGAGGAAAGGCAAAAGCATTAGAATCACATTTTAACCTATTTGGAAATTCAAGTCAGGCATTTATTAATGACTGCTACAACTGCAGTCCTAACATCAATCCACCAAGAGTATCCATCACTGGCTTCTTGGTAAATTTTGACCAAATCCTGCTCAGTTTCACATGCAGTGTTTGCGGAGGGAAGAGTAGAGGTGGAGAGGAGCACAACCCCACTGACACCACCTAGGAAGTGTAAGGACTCATGCACAGGTTGACTTAACAGTTATGGAAAAGGACAAGTTATTCATCCTTAAGGCCATTTCAGTGGAGCTTACACCAGCCAAAATGTTGCACTTAGGAAGTTTAAGGTGGCAGTGGAAGGTCGCTTACAGAGCTGACACATTTTGTATAGCATTTCCAACTGCATCTGCAATCACTGCGAGGTTTTTCAAAGAGCATCATTTTTTCAGACTGAGACAGTAAAAACAATATGGAAAAGGCAGCACAGTAAACCTCTGAGGCAAAAGGGACAGTGGACAAACAAGCCAGTTCTAATCAGCAATGGCAGTTTTCTCCTGGCCATTGCAGCTAAATCATAAAAAATATCCAACCCCTTTGTGTGCTAGTTAAAATTTTCCTTCATGTTATGTTTTTCCCTTTGCGACTCTACTGTGATTTTCATAATTCTGACACATGGAATATTCAAATAGTATACTCCAATTTTAATTGAGCTTTTGTTTGCTATAGTGTGGTAAAACCTAATTTGTCTTTGGGGAAATTTCTATAATCATAATTACTGATGTTCAACTGCAAGTTACAAAAGTCCCTTACAAACACATGAAAGAGGTCACTGTTTAGATATTCTCTCCTGCAGTACCATTTATGAAATTCCTGTCATCTTCACTATATTATACATACACTACTGATAAAGTTCAAGCTCCACCAGCCAGGCATCTGCATATCTGATGACTGAAAGCAAATTACTGCAGCCAAGGTGTCGTATTATTTATTATATGATTACTCACTACAAGATGTCTAAAGCTTATGTGACAGAAAGCATTTATTAGAATTGAGAAATTTACTTTAAAAATATATTTCATTCTTAAGCATGGCAAGAAGAGTGAAGTTTCAGGCAGAAACAGCACAGCCAATTTAACTGGGCAGCAGTGGTGTATGAAACATGGATTAGGGAAGCAAGCAGTGATTACTGTTGGCAGCTTACACACTTGAGGTCGCACCTACAGGGGCTCATAACTTAGCAAGATGTGAAACAGACAGAAGTTTGCTCTATTGTTGGCCTGTTCGTTAGCAACGTCACATTAATTCAGTCAAAGTATTGCAGTATGCACATAGAATAGCTATGCTGTTAAGGCTTGTATACAAAGAAGTTGTTTAGAGTTCCTTTCAACGTTTTTCTAATCATCCAAAAAGTGTACATTTAGTCAAAATAAAACATAGAGGGCTTTTACACACAAGAAATTCATTTTAAGACTAAATTTGATACAAGGTGCTTCAACCATGTCAAAGTTATCAATTTAAAAGATTGTGAATGAATTCTCAAAACCTTCAAAAACCCACAACCCTCCCTCCCCGCCATGCTCAAGTCATACATTCAGGAAAGAAGAGACCTTTACGTAATTTCTTCTTCCTGCTATTGTTCTTCTCAAACATCTGTAAGCTCTTTCAAACAAAGCTTAGAATCATAGAAAAATTCTCAGTTGAAGGAACCTCAGGAGGTCTCTAGTTCAACCTGCTACTTCAAAGCTGGGTTAGCTCAGAGATCAGAATAGGTTGCTCAGAGGTTTATCCAGTCAGGTCTTGAAAGCCCCCAAGAGCAGAGATTGCACAGCCTCTCTGGGCAACCTGTTGCAATTCATCAGCATCCTAACAGGAAGAAGTTTTTTCCTTATGCCCAGTTGTACTGGGTCTGGTTGGGATGGAGCTAATTCTCATTACAGCTGCCTGTATGATGCTGTGTGACTGAAACTGTATTGATAAAACACTAATGTTTTGCTGAACAGTGCTTGTAAAGAGTCAAGGCCTTTCCCATGGACTCAGCAAGTAGGCTGGGAATGGGCAGGAGGCTGGGAAGGGACACAGCTGAGACAGCTGACCTGAACTGACCAAAACTATATCCTATGCCATATAACATCATCCTCAGCAATAAATCCTGGAGGCGAGTCATTGCGAGGTAGTCACTGCTCAGAGAATGGTTGGACATCAGTCTGCTGGTGGGAGGTGGTGATTGATTGCTTTGCATCACTTAGTTGCTTCCCCCCGCCTTCTTGCCCTCGTTCCTTCACTTATCAAACTGTCTCTATCTAGTTCTATGGGTTTTTCTTGTTTCTGATCTTCTGATTCTCTCTCCCATCCTGCTGTGGGGGGGAGTAGTGAGCAGGCAGCTGGTGGGTGCTTACTTACTGGCTGAGATCAACCCACCACACAAGTCTGAGCCTCTCTTCTTTCAGTTTAGGTCCTCGTTGCTCATCTTCCTGTCATGCACCACTGCAAACAGGCTTGTCTCTGTCTTCCTGAGCATGTGCTTGAACACCCTGACCATCTTAGGGGCCATGCACCAAACTTTTTCCAGTTTATCAATGTCTTTTATGTATTGGTGACCCAAAATATGGGGCACGTTATTCTAGATTTGAGCTAATAAGGGCTGAAGTAGAAGGAAATAATAACTTCTCTCAACCTACTCGCTATGATCCTGTAGATACAGCGCAGGATGTTCTTAACTTTTACCAGGGCACACTGCTGGCTCACATTCAGTTTCTTATCTACCTAGGTCCTTTTTAGCAGAGATTTCTCAGTCGATCACAGTCTGTGTTGTTGCAAGGGGTCACTCCTTCCAAGGCAAAAAACATTGCACTTGTCCTTCCTGATTTCACAATTGGCCTTTCTCCCCAGCTTGCCTAGGTCCTTCTGAGTGGTAGCCCTGCCCTCAGGCACATATACAGTTTCCTCCAAATTGTTGTCATCTGCAAGCATGTGTGCACTCCATCTCTTGCTCCAGGTCTTTGATAAAGATGCTAGAAGGACAAGTCAGGCTCCAGAAAGTAGGATGAGCCTATAACTATTAATAGCTAATGGATGGTCTGAGTCTGGCTACCCAACAAATTTCTTTCCTGTCTAGCTGTCCATTCATGCAGACCATGGTTAAATAAACCATTAAATTTTGTGAATATCATCTTTCCCTCCCATTTTTTACCTTCTTGAAGAAATGTATGTGAAAGTTCGGTCCTTAGATTCTACTACAGCTCTCTCACAAGTAATATCCTAATTACAGATAGGTATTTTCTTCTGCAAAGGATACTGATGAAACAGGTCCTAAATCTTAGACATAAGAAAATTTCCTCTACCATAAAGGAGGAGGAGTACTTTTTTTGCCTCTCTTTTTCCTTTTAAGAAAAAGAAAGGGAAGAACACTATTTCAAAATGGTAAATATATTAGGAAATAGCTTCCCACCTGCAAACCAGAAGCCAAAAATCACAGAAGTGGAGAAGACATATCTTGAGGGTTTAATGGAGAAACATATCAGTTCAAGGAGCTACCTAGACATTACATCTGTCATAGAAAACCGCACTATATAATTTCTCCCAAAATATTTTCAATCTAATTCTTAATAGAAACCTCTTTTCAAATAAATCTGTTTTGTGACCTATGAAGACTTTATTGCAGCTTAGCAACAGCCAATAATACATCAATGTAATAAACTGTTAGGTAGTAACAAGACACCATGGATATACAGGCTTACATGTAAATGCTAAACTGCTAGAATTTGAAAAAAATGTGGGTACTTTTCCTGAACCAACGAAGTACACAAGAAGTTCAAACTAAAGCATTGTCAAATGTCACATGCTTCACCTGTTCTGCAATAATGTTCAGTACCTGTCAGGATCAAGGAAACAATCTTTCCAAACATCAGCAGACAGATTGGATACTAAAAGGACTACAAGGATATTGTGAACCTGCTAGGAAATGAAAAGGAACTAAGAAAGAAGACAACATGCAATATTACCAACTGTGAAAACATGAGAAGTTTGGGGTATTTAGATATTGCAAAGTGATGAAAAGATAGCAGGTATAAATGATAAATTACCACTTGCAACATCTAAGCTGAAGTCACTGGACAACTAACCATGGTAATAATGATAAAGGTAGTAAATATGACAAAATCAAAGATGTGTAAACAGAGTCATCTGATCCATGACTTAAAGAGAAAAGAGGTCGAATCTTCTGCAATCATTTAGAAAGTGAATAATACAGACATGGAAAACAAATGCAGGAAAAAAATAAAGCATATTGCACGAGTAGTCAAACCAGGTTTGATTAAACTAAAGCTGGAAATCAAGTTAATATGATTATTAACTTTCAGGATTTAAGCCATTATTCCTGCACATCACTGTACTATGTTGTGTGTATGAATTCATTCAGTTACTACTAACCAAAAATTTTGAACCACTTGTTTTCCCAAACTTAAACAAACAAAAGTCAAGGCCCACATATTTTAATATCTGTCTGAAATACTCTTTGCACTGAAGTAAATGATTCTAATCTCTTTCTTAACATAATTTCCAGGCAAAAAGCTAAGTAAAATTCCTAAGACATCAAGAACTACAGTAACAATACATAAAAACATATTTCTGAATGCACTTTATATTCACATAAATACATACCCCAGTTCAGCAGCCTTTTTTTTCAGAAGAACATTTTCTTCAATTTGAACTTGACAGAGCTCCAGGAAAGTTCTTGATTCTGATCCTTTGATTCTTTCAGTTGTGGGTAAAGTATGATAATTTAAGATTTCACCATCAAGAAACTGTAAACTAGGAAGGACCTTACACAAGGAAGGCCTTAGAAAAGGAAAAGTCATAATTAGTTTTATGAAAAAATCCTGATGCTAAAACTCCCGTTTTATTGATACAGTCATATAACAAGACAGAACATGATGATAGTTCCCCACGTATTTGTATATACTTGTCCTTCATATGTTAACATATTAGCTAAAACTTTATCCTTAATAAACCACAGAACTTAGAAAGATTTCTTAATAATTTGTTGGTATAAAGACCACTGCAAAAATACTGACCCCAGGGAGGTCAATGGCAATATTCTCAATTCACTAGAGAGAGCATATTACCTACTTAAACAAAAACAGGAAAAAAATTAACACACTGATGCATAGGCACCTGCAATGCATTTCGTTAATAGGCAACACAGCAAACTAAGTCATAGGCTTAAGATATAGCACTGATTTTGACACATTGAAAAGTTTAGATTCAAAAACTGCACAGAATACTAAACATTGCCAGTCATACTCCCTTTACAATTTACATATACCACATAAAGCAATAAGGTATCCAGTATGACTGACAGGAGAAAAATCCACTTTTGAAATACTGGATTTGGGTCAGTGAAAGGGATGACAGTAGAGATGACATCTCCTTGCTATGAAAAAGGCAGCTGGGGGCACTGATGTAAGAAAAAATACGTATGAGAAACTTATCTACTGATTTATAATAAATAGTATCATCAGTACTCTCTCTTTTAGGTTATTGTGAAATATAATCTAGTACTGCAACCTTCTTTCACATATTTCTTATACCAGACCAAATTTATTGGAACTTGCAAGACTGCAAAACTATTTAAATCGATACATCAAGACTCAATATTTTCATTAAGTTAGTGTTAAGTAACGCTTAAGAACTCTTAATACTTATTGTAGGCTGTAAGTCCCCTCACTATTAAAAAAGATAATACTGTTTTCAAAATTTTAGAAATCCCTGCCTATTCCCTGTGAAGGTAAAGGGCTATTACTCAGCTCAGACAACACACACTAAGTTTAAAACCAGAGAAAGTTTCTATGACTGAGTTACAATATGTCAAAATGTAGCTCAATAGAATAGAATATTAGTTTTTTGCAAATAGAAAACTTTCTTTCTCCACTGCCCATTAATGTAAGAATAACACTGTCTGAAATACATTTGGAATAAAACAATGGGTTTAGATAGACACTCCCCGAACACATAGAGAGAAATTACCAAGCTGATGTTGAATAGTGATACATCAAAAAAGCACCATATCAAAGTTGATTGATGCTGGAAGTATTGTGTCTTAGAGCTATGGGATCTCAACACTAGTTTTTCCAGCTGGGTTTCTCCTGGTGAAGGGCTGAGTCAATATTTCATTTAGTGAAAACTTCCTGGTGAATATTCTGTCACTTAAGAGGCTCTATTAATCATTACAGCATTGAAACACATTCCCTTAGGAGTGCTCAGACTGATCCCAGGGTTTAATTTTTAAAAAGCAATTTCTTACTACTTCATTTTTGTTGGTGTTATCGCTGGCTGGACATGAAAGTACAAAAACCGATTGGGAAATTTTACAACTAATTCCTTTGTTGGTATCAAGGGGTTATGTAAAGTTCACTGGAACATATTGCCTGAAGTTACGGTCAATGCTGTATTCAACAAATCCATATTTTATAGTATTCCATACTTTAAATCCTTTAGACAAATGAATCTCTTGTCTAATCATAAAAGCTCTATTGGGTCAAGCAATCTAAAGTGTCAGTTCTTATATTTAAATTGGAATTGAGAAAGCTTTTCCCCTCCAGGTTACAAGTGAAGTAACAGTTAGTTCTGTAAAATAGTGGGAATTAAAACAGTGCAAATGGGTATTTAAAATATTGTCACAGTCACTGAATTTTATTCACAAAATTACCTGCAGGAACCATGGGAACAAATAAGTCTGTTCATTAAAAAACAAACCAACCAACCAAGAATGTATTTGTACAGCTATCTTTTAAACTACTCAAACATTTCCAATTAAAAGTTTCAAGTATTCTTTTTTTCCACTGGAATACTAATCAGAAATGTGTACAAAAACCTTCTACTGGAAGATACACATGTAGGGGTGTTTTTGTTTTTGGTTTTTTCTCTTAATACAACAGTTTTTTCTCTTAATACAACACATACTACAAAAGACACATACCCCAAACTTTGCTGTTGTTCTATTAGGCAATCTAATATAGCAAATGTGAACACAATTGATCTAAACACATTGTTGTGTAACGTTGCAGTGTAAAGCCTCACCTTTAACAGACTTGAAACTATAGAAGGAACAAGTTTGGTCATTCTTCAAAATTGCAAATCTTAAAAAAAAAAAATCATACTTTTCTAATAAAAAAATCTCAGTCACTTTTACATCCAAAATGAAAGTCCAACTGTTATGTCTCATTTCATTTCCTCAGACATTTTATTATGTCAACACTTTCCTACATAAATACTTGATTTCCTTAGCTGAAAGAATTGGTAATGATTTAAAATCTTACTGATTAAATGCTTCTTTGTACATTTAATGGAATTATGGTAAGAGTTCACTAAAAGACACTCTTCCCATTTCAACACATGTATTCTAGAGCATCACCTAAAAACCTAAAATTGCATTTTCAATTTGTCATTCTGCTCTTGAAGGCATGTAGACTAGAAAGTATTAATTCTAAGGAAAACGAAAGAACACTTCACATTAAATTAACAGCACTACTATGCTGTTGCTGAGTAATTCGCTCAGATAGCTTTACGTCTTGATGGCATTGGCCCACGTATGCGGTTTTAGACCACAGAATTCTCAAGAAACCAGGAGACTTCTCAAATACAAAAAACTATACAAAAAACCTATCCATGTACAATTTTATTCATATGGCTTACAAATACAATCCTATCACAACTACTCATTTCAGGGATTCTGGTGACTGCATCTCATTTCATGTCAAGTTTCCTTTCTACCTTATCCAGTTTTTATATATACACATACAATTATATCTAGGACCAGCTGTTCAATTTTTTTTCAGATTATTATTTCAGTATTATACAACACTGAACAGCATTATTTTTACATCTGTGTCTCTTTCATAATCATAAGAGTAACTAATTTCTGGTGTAAAGATAAGAATTCTCAGAACAAGAAAAAAGTCTAAGCCTCAACTACTAAGAAAAAATCAATCTTTTTTTCTGACTTTTTCTTCTATATTTTTTTCCTTAAAAGATGCTAAGCCAAGGATTCCTTGATACATTTATTATAGACACCACCCTTTCTCTAGCTATATGCAGTGTCAACCTGTCACAGCAGCAAGACCATTAAGCACTGAATGGATGAAGTGATGGAAGGGAGTAAATAAGAAAAAAAATAAAAGACAGCAAAGCAGAAAGAGAAACAGTCTAAGCAGCTATGTGATAGACAGTCAGAAACTGATGGTTCTGAGAAGGACAAGTAATAGTGTGAGAACATTAATAATCAGAGCAAAAATAATGATTTTAAACAGTGCAGATCAAACAGACAGAGAAAAAGTTTGCGTGGATGGTCATGTCTTTGTACAAAAGTTTTAATGAAATGTAAAATAGGGTAATAAAGGTCAGACAAAAGCTCATTCAGAAAGTTAGAGTTACCAAAAGTAGTAAACTTGCCAGTAAAGAGAACAACCAGAATTCATGCTGAAAAAGAAGATATTGTGACCAATGGACAAAGAAGCACAAGGAAGGCCTCTATCACCTTTTTAATTTCTGCATTTGCCTAAAGAAATTGTCATAAAGAAAAGTACTCACTTAGGATAAGAGTTAAACAGCACAGCAAGACCACTGTCAAATTTTACCACAAACTGCTTCTTATTAAGGTTTCAAGTGCTAGGTCAAACATCAAGATTTTTGTTTAAACAAAACTACAAACTGTAATTCTTAACAAATAAAATTCAATTATATGATCTTTATTTTCTATTTTCATACAATCCTCCTAATTTGTGGCAGTGTTCATACTTACCTCATTTCTATTATTTAACTAATGCACACACACCAAGTTTTTGGCTAATTTTGATTGATAAACAAGATCTATATACACCCAGTTTTTGGCTGATTTTGATTTTTTGATTTAGCAAATAGATTTATTTTCTTACCTCCAATTCCTTTCTTGGAGAAGAGGATTTCCACTGAGTGACAACTCCTTTAGCCTGTAACAGCCACTTAACCATGTAATAACACCTTTAAGGTCTGTATTGTAGTAAGAAAGAAAGTTAAATATAAATTTGAATGCAGAACCATATTATTTCTCATAAAATCTTACGTGAAACTAAAATATACAAAAATAATGGAGTACCATAAGCAGTTCTGCTACCTATACAGTATAGTTATAATTAATATCTATCAAATCCATGTTTGGAAAATATGTATTCTCTCTACATGTCTCATAAATAAATGGGAACAATCAAATTCAAATAAGTTTATAATTTAATTAAGAAGTTCTTGTTTGGATGGGGTTTTATGGTTTTTATACAACTCACCTGACAAGCAGTTATTTTTGATATCCAGCTTTTCCAAAGACACAAAGGAGTTTAAAGGCACAAGCTCAGTCAGTCTAAGAATGAAACAGGAGAGGTATTTTCTTCAATTAAGTAAAACAACAGTTCATAAACAAAGGCATCAGAATCTTTTAAAGTTAAGACAATTTACTTATTTACATAAAAAAATACTCATTTAGCTATCCAAGGTCCTAGAATTAATTACTTACATTTTAACTTGAAAGCATTTCTTAGCCTTCTCAGTATCTCAGCTTTTAATATTTACTCTTTAATGTTTTATTTTATCTGATAAATAATTCATTCTATTTTTTGCATTTAGTGCTGAGGATCTGAAGTCTTGTAAAATTTACACAACTCAATTGGCTTCTCTTTAGGCACTGTAACTAGACTGAAACTAACAGAAGGCCCTGATGCTGGAGAAGAAATAAGATCTGCTTTTCCTCTTTCCTCTTCCTTCATTTCTCATTGCTCAAACTTCTTGCCAGTTTGTTTCTCTTCTCCACTCAGCACATTACCTCCTAGATCCTAAAACTAACATAAGTGTTGTCACAGTTGTATTTCTTAACAGGTCAAGGCTGCACTACCCTGTAATATATTTTTAGTGCTTCCTCTGTCTTACTACTTCTGTAAGACAGGGTCAAAGAGGTGTCTATTACACAGACAGTTATGGAATTGCTCTTCTTGCATATCAGCGCATTTCTTGTGCAATAAAGCAGCAAAGCAGTAGTAAAGCCATGACAAAGTTCTTATCTGTAGCATTGAAGAGTAAATGTAAGGAAACTGCACTGACATGCATCTATACAAAGGATTTTTGGACTGTAAGATGTGTATTATCACTACAATTAAAACAGTAGCATCCAGTGTTATTCAAGTTTCTTTACTTAGAAACTTGCATTGGTGCAACTAAGAATGAATGTTGAATGGTTCAGTCAGCTGCCAGGCTATTTCCAAATATTACCTTTCAGATTAAAAAGTTTATTTTATGTTAAATATGAAAGAAGGAGGAAAAACCAAGATGCAAAAAATACCAGTCTTCAACCAAAACTAGAATGTTTATGTGTAAGCATATACTAAATCAACTATGCCTTTTTAAAAAAAAAATACATGTTTAGGTAACTTGTTTCATCCCTGTAAGGGCAAGGCCTAAGCATAATGAGAGAATGGTAACACCAATGGCAATGTGTGTGGTCACTTGTGACTTCTAATTTTCATGGAAAGCAGTATTGTCTGAGGGTTACAGTGCCTTTGAAAGCTATGATCAGAATTTTTATGGTCAGAAACATGACCATGAAAAAAACCAAAACCCACTCACTCCACAAACTTACAACTGGTCAGAGCCAGAAATGCTTATTTGTTCCTGAAATGCGTGACTGTGTTGTGTTTCCAGCACAAGCATTACAACTGAAAGACAGAGATGGATTTAGCTCTGGTACACAAATTCTGGACCACATGTTGGTTGTAGATTCTTTAATCTTTTTGAAAATTTGACCACATGCACAATATTAAAAAAAAAAAAATTCTACGTTCAGTTGACGTAGAAATATTTCTATATGACAACATAACATTTTAATAGTAAATTCAGAGAAAGAGATATAAAGCCATTTGAGTATGTGTCACTATACTTCCATTTCTTTTTCAAACCATATTGTAAAGTTGTCCTGGTTCTAGTCCTATTTAGTTCTATTACCTCCCTGCCATTTTTCCATGGAATCAAATAAATATTAAGAAGTATTAACTCTAAAAAGCATTATGTCTTACATGTAGTTCTGTACATAGTACTACAAATATCAGCATTTTACATTCTCATGCCCAGTCACCAGTACATAAATATATTTAATATTTGTAAAAAATATCATCATAGATATTAGTGGCTAACAGTATGGCTGCAAAGACTGAAAAGCCATGATTCAGATTATAGATTCACATATTCAGAAACATCCAGGAAAATAAACATACTTTGCACAAGGGGCAGAAGATAAATGCAGCACCTTTTAATTATAGTGAGTGAATTCTCTGAATCTTTATCAGTATATGCTGCGGTGAAGTAGAAATTGTCTGCTGGACTATCCCTGCCTGCTGTTGGCATTATGAGAGTTAAAATGTTTCCTCGTCATTCTATAGCTTTCCCTTTTCTGACATTCTTTGTTAATTTTTTTCCTAAGAAAATTCAAACCAGAAAGACAAAGGACATTACTGAAAACTTAATACTACTTGACCTTGTCACATTAGCCCTGGGCATAAGAGAGATATAAATTACAAAGAAGACACAAAAGTAAAAGATATTCACAAAAAAGCAAGCTATAGCTTCCTCTTTCTGCTCCCATTTAAGGCTGTAGCAGGACAGGACACAGATAGACACAGAAACTCTATGTCAGAAAACAAGATTTAAGAGACTAGTATAGTTGCAAGTATGCAGAGAAAATAAAGATTGTTTTTCTGAACACTAATAGCAGTTACTGCTCAAGATGGTCCAAATCTTGCACATCTGCTTTTCCCCAGAAAAATTATCATTGATGTTAACAAGAGGTTAGCAGGAAGGGGAGCAAAATAATTAGAAATAAATTTATATTAATCTAGATCATTAGGTAAAGCCCATATTTCTTTTTCATTCTTTAAAAATGAAAATATTTTAGTTTGCAATATTCACCATATTTACAGGTAGTAATCAAATATAATGTAGAAAATCTGTCAGTTAGCCACTTGTTTCTTGAATGCTTTAGTAGGCAGTACTTCAGCTGTGTTGCCCATGGTGGCACATACTTAAGAGATAGACTTATCACTAGTAAAGAGTTGCTGAGAGTGATCAAAAAAATCTAAACTATTAAGGATGGGATGGGGAAAACCACTATACATAAATATAGCTTTTTCATGGCTGACATTTCAACATCCAATGACATTTAGATTTATCATGACGACTCTGGAAAAATGGTCAAATTCTCAAAACATGATGGCTTTCAATGACAGTGAGTTCAACTCTTACATCTGAGAAATTAGCTTAAAAACATACATACCATATTAAGCAGCGAGAACAATATGTACTAAGAGAGAATTGAGCTGACTTTTTAGCATTTCTATTACAAGCCGTTTAGGAACAGTATGCAACTAGTTGCATCTGGTTATCTCAATGAAAAACAAGAGACAGCAAAAAAAGAACTTTGCCATATTAAAACAGAAATTTTAAGAGGGATAGATTTTTCTGTTTGAAGTTGGGGGCGGAGGGAAAAGGCTACCTGAACAGCAAATTGATTTACTGTCTCAATGTAAAACTTGTAAAAGAAAAAGACATTAACAAGTAAACTACATAATTAAGTGGGATTACATGTAAATATAAATACCACATGAACTTTTAACACATTAAATATCTATTCATTTCAGTCCCAGGGGCAAGGTTTGTGTCTCCTACAACTAAATCTTTATCCATACCAGAAGAAAATAGAAAAGACAGGACGTCTTTTAGATGTGTGCCTTTTTTAAACTAACTTAACAGTTCCTATAAAATAGAGCACAGATCTTCACAGTCCCAATTCTGCAGTAACCAAGTCAAGAGGTTATTCATCATTGGCTTTGGTCAACTGTACATTGACCAGGTATATGCTTTATATGTGGAAGCCATAATAAAACACTTAATAAAAGCAGTAGTGGTGAAATAGCTGCCATTTTTATAGTTGAAGGAGTTAATCACTATAATTCCTTGTTGCTAGATTGTAGGTTTAAAATAATTTTATGGAGTTTTATCTTTGGCAATTTCCAGTTTATGATACAGACAAACCATCTCAGGAATAAAAAAAATCCTGTAAATTAGTGTAAGAATTTTCTTCTCATAGTACTTCACTTTTAGAAAGAATACAGATTCACAGCATTACCATTATATGGGCTTCCTGCAATCAGTAAAAAGGAAATGGCACTCAGTGCACACTTGAAAAAAAGTCACAAAACTGCACTAGCTGTAGGATAAAAGTAAAGAAACAGCTTTTCTTTCAACAGCTTACTCCATTACATTCACTGTTTCCATAGAACATCGAGTTACTTATGCTGTAGCACACACATATGGAGCTGCTTATAAGTGTACATAAAGTGAGTGTAACAGAGCAGGCTACTGAAATGCCAGGAATTTTGAGGCTTTTAATTTATAATTTAAGGGTATCTTGTCCTGATTGTCACGAAGATTTGAGAAAGCTATAGATACTTACAAGAAAAGAAAGGGAATTGTTTAGGTAGGAGGTGTGTGTTTATTTTCAGCACATCCCGTTTGCAGATGCAAAAATATGTGCTTTCTCCCAGTCCAGCAGAAGAAACTCAGTGGACCAAACACTGCATCTCAGCTTGGCCACTGGAAAACCAGAACAAGCACTACAATGGACATGAAAAACTGTAACATCATGGGATAGGCGAGTGACATAAAAGACACATTTACATGGTCAGTCAGCACATCCAGCACAACCTGGATCCAGAGGCTGCATTCAAGCTATGCCTGAGACCATGATTTTAAGTTTGTCCTCTCCCTACCAGGCACATGAGGTCTTCAAGCAGTTTTGTAAACTTTTTATTACACACAGCATAGCTACATCCTAATGTTAACAAAAAAACAAACTGAAGGAAGAGGAGGAAACTACAAGAAGATAGAGCCACATTACTGCGTTTTCCACAAAAAGCTGAACAAGACAAGAAAAGCAAAGAACATGAATTAAATCAATATGTGTGACTCAAGAATCTAATACTTAAATAATGCTTTTTTTAAATCACAGGCAGGAAGCACTTTCTCCAAAATCCAGAAGAATTAACACAAGAACAAAAACTCCTAAAAGCCCAGCAACTCAAAGATTAGATTCTGTCAATATAGCTAGATTTTATATTTACATCCAAGAATTTATATGCCTATTACTTCATTAGAGATGATATGAAACAATCTGGAAAGTTATACAAAAATTTAGGTTGTATATGCTCAAATAATATTAGTTTTCCTTGAAGGACGTTCTTTATAATAACAGGACTCTTACAGATCTTTTCTCCCACAGGTTCCCAGCTACAGTTGACTCTGCTGAACTAAATGCCACATAGGATGGGATTCATCTGTTCAAATGTAGACACCTATATATAAGCTGGTCAGTTTGACTCTCTTAATAGTCAGTGAAGATGAACAAGCACTTGTAGTGTGTGATTAGTCTCAAAGCAAACGGCTAAAAATGGCAGATGAATCACACTCTAAAAGCATCCCCTCTTCACTACCATGAGAGCAAATTGATTAGTTCAGAGTGTATGTTTTGCATATTGTGTGTAAGAGAGTATATTCTATTTGTTTAGCTGAGAACAACCTTGCTCAGAGTGAAATGGTCACAGTGTAGAAAAATAATTTATTTATACTAATTTAAAATTCATTTTACTACTAACACACTGTAGATTATAATAATTGTTCCTTATTTTTTAGCAGAATTTAAATTGAGAAGAAGAAAGTGGGGAAATAAAAATTTTGACTCCTGACTATCTGGTCATTTTAACTCTACAGATGTACAGACTATCTCAGAAAATGAACAGAAAGCTAATTACAGTGTACGTGAGTGTATAATCTAGTTTTATGCTGCTTGTCTTGATCATTCTTTTTTATTTTATACCTTTCCAAGTCAGACATACGAGTGAAAAATTTAAGCAAATATGCTTGTTTTGGAGGGCATTAACATATGTATGTAAAATGAAAACCAACATTCTCATTTGTCCTTTTTAACTGCAGTAGTTGCACTTAACATAGCCTTCAAAGTCTGTTTTGAATAAGATAGCTGTGAAATATGAAGTTTGACAGACATACTCTAGAAACAATTGCTAAAGAAAGGAAAGAAAAGAAACACCATGGTTTTAATAATGCCACAACGCTCAAAAATTGTCATATAACATCCAATAGAAAAGAATTACTTTTCATACTTAATGCTCTTTCAAATTTTCTTAGCTAGAGCTAGACAATGTCATTCTCTGAAAATATGTGGTTGACAAGTAATATCTCTGAAAGATAGTGATATTTTAACCATATTGAGAACTATACTTTTTAGATAAGTGTTATGTTAGTAAATTCCTCTATATCAGTTTTGTAAGTGGAAGAATGTTTCTTGCTTACCTATTTTGAGACAGCAAAAGAATCTGCAATAGAGGCAGCCAATACAAAGAAAGCATTCTCACAGCAGAAATGCTATTGTCATCCAAATGTAGTTCTCTTAGGAGAACATGATTTTCTAGTCTTGGAAGCTAAACAGAAAAGAGGTGGTTATTTAAAATTAATATAAATTAGGGAAACAATAATGGAATGCTTACCAGATGCTTTTCATAAATCATTACCACATACAAGTAAAAAACACATTTTAGATACACGTACCATTTCCTTATTATGTATGTACCAGTTGTCACACGTAATTTCTACCTATCAGGTGCTAAGTACTTTTTAATGTCTTCTACCTAGTCCGAATAGTCAATATAAATAAATAAAAAAAAAGACCCCAAAAGCCACAGCCTTACTATTTTATTCATGCAATTATTTGTTGCTTATTGACAATCGTTTTCCTCTCTCAGATTCATAAGAGAATCATTTTCAGTGAATATGGCTAAGAGTACAGTTAGCAAGCTACTTTCCTATTTTAAATGTTGCAGCACAAACTTCAACTTTGGAGGATCAGCATCTATCAAATCAGCTTGAACTATTACTTATACATAGTGATAATAATATTTTTTTACATTTTAAACAGAGAATCAGCATCATATAATACAAACTGAAGACTAGATGCTATAAACAAAGGAGGGAAATATAATTACTGAGGGGCCAATTTTCCAAGGATTTAGGAGCAAGAAAATACTTAACTGCTAGCCATTTGTATCTTTGAAAAATCTCCCTCTAAGAGCGGAAAAAAAAAAGCCTATCTAAAAGCATGAAACATCCCACAGCAAACAAACAGCACATGATCAGCATTCTGTAAAATATAACTTTTAACAAAGATATATGCACAATAGCCACTGAATTCAAAGGTTTTACCTCCTGGAGGTTATTGCCTTGCAACTTCAGAATTTGAAGTAGGCCACAATTCTCAATGCCTTCAACTTCTGTGAGATGATTAAAAGAGCAGTCTAGGTGAATGAGAGTAGGTGCCTCACAAAGACCTTTTATGCTGATTAACTGATTATGGTCCACAATCAATTGCTGAAGACTTTTCAATGACTCCAGACCACCTGAAAATTAAAGATTTTAGCTGAATTAACCCATAATTAAATGAAAACCTATTGATTTTCAAGTACTAATATAAATACATTGAAAGTTCACAGTTTTCTTGTAACAATTAATATTAGCCCTGTATAAGGTTTAAAAATAATTACTGTATTTTGACCCTATCAAATATAAAATGAGTACAGTTCACAAATTTCTGAGCCTGTTAACCAAGCAATAATAACAGTTCATAACCCCTTTAGCACCTCTGTCGGAATAGAACATTTTTAGTGATAAACTAAGCTTTACTATGCTTTAAGCACTTTATAACTGCCACTCAGAACCTATGGGCTCTGTGAAATGCTAACAGCCCTTTTAACATCACCCCTCAGAATGGAAACAGTATTTATGTTTAAAAGTTAAAAAAAAAACTTAAAAAAATGAAATAATGAAAATTAAGTTATCAGCAAGGTGAGAGCAAATTGTGTTACAACTTAAGCCAGTACTACCCCTATTAATTAAGTGCATATTGTTTAAGGAATTATGTTATAAAATATTTTTAATGTAGAAATTTATAAAGAAAATTTAGTGTCTTCAAGTATAAAGCTATACTTCTACAGCCATTACACTTTCAACAAACTTACTCCTGCCAGCTAGTGTAAAGAGCAAGAATGTGTGTGGATTCTACCCCAAAAAGATGCAAAGGAAAAGGTTCTTGTCCACGTCTGTTTCTTTCACAGAATTTTTCCCAAATCATGCTCTTACAATGGCAAAAATCACACTATCTTTCCACGGTCTTATACATTCTAGATGTTCTGCAATGGCACTGATGCATGTGACTTGCTACAGGCCCAACCAGTTTTTCTGCACCTCTCTGATAAAACTCCTTTGAAGGGACACCCTTTACAAAACATATCTAAAATAAGGATTTTTTGAATTTACTTTTCTTTCATGTGTTCTTCACAGGATTATTTGAGGTAATACTTTGTCTGATCTTTATCCCACACAAAACTTCCCAAGTTCCCAAAAATAAGTTGGGCAAGCTTTACAGAGGTGAATGTCTTTGTGATTGTCCTTTGAGAATAAACTGGATTATGAGACCAGAGACCAGTTTGCACCATGGATTATTGAGAATACAGAAAAGGAGTTAAAAAAGAAAATGAACAATAAGTAGAAAACAGGAGTAAAAAATTAAATTCCAAAACTAGCAGTACATTTAAAAAAACACAATCAAATATAGGCCTTCAAATCATAGTAATTTAAAAATGGAAAGCACCTAGTGGAAATAACATAATCGCCTGATATTAAAGAGATAACATCCTAAATCTAAAACAAATGTCCCATACTGTAACTTCAAAACTGTGCTTGAGGAAATAAATATACAAACCTTTAATTATTCTGAAAGAATTTCAAACAAGCCCATGACATACTATCCTGACTGCAAGATCCTGCTCTTTATTTTCTTTTATGCTTGTACAAAAATAAAAAAGGAACCAGCACCATCTAGTGGTCTCAAAACAATTTTGTTTCAGGTGATGTTAAAATTAACAGCTCTCACAAGACTTCCTCACAAGAGCAGTCCTTAAATATCCACTTCTAAGTTATCAGCCTAGCATTACTGGAAGCTTTAAAAGCAATGAATTGGTCTGGAGTGGGATGGAGAGGAGAGACTGCACACACAGTAAGAAAAGGCAAGGACTTAATACAGGATCTGGAAGTTTCCTATTCTGCATGTGGCACAAAGCACCCTTTTTTACATCTCTTTCTCCTCATCTGTCTTGTTTAATTAGACCAAACGTCATTCGGAACAGACATACCAAGGCTACATACAATGGGATCACAATCTGTTCTGGAACTATCAAATGCAGTCCAACAGAAACATACACAAAAGAGAATAATGTAATACAAACAGATGGTATTTTAATGTTTCTTCTGCACACACACAAATTAAAAATAAGCATGAAAGTCTTCTGCACATTTCCAGAAGATATTGTCTGTTTTACATATGATGGAACCAACAACAGCTATAGCACTATATGGGAAAATGCATTCCATCAAAAAACATACGGTTTCAGCAAGATTTGTGGAAGACCTTTATATAAGTAGCTCTTAGCAATATGCAAAGTGCAGCTGGAGTCTGTTAGCTAGGGACTCTATCTTAGCTACCAACGCAGTTCTGAAGTAACTTCTATGTGTGACAAAGATGAATTATAAGAGAGCAGTGAAAGTCAACAGTGAACATGAAGATGAAAAAAAACACATAAAGCCTGCCCCCTCCCAAACTGAAAGATGTCTGATAAAGAAAACTGTATGTGCCTTCTTAAAAAAGAGTAGGTCCAAACAAGCATTTACCACTATCCACAGTTATGCATTGCTAGTCTTAGCACTGCCAGGATTTTAGCCAAAATACTAAGGCAATATAGCCACCCTACAAAAGCGTATTCTATGACTCAAGTCAAAAATGCTACTTTTTGTGTAATTGCATTTATCCATGTTCATACTGTTTCAGTCTCCTTTTTTCAACAGTGGAAACCATTTTTGTATATAAATGACTTAGGTGAATGTGTTTCATCTATCAGCTTAATAAATGTTTTATATTATTTTCCTGCTGTCCAGCAGGAAAATAAAGTACATCCACATACTATAAAGAAAATTAAAAGTCTAAATAAAGACAAATCAAATCAAAATAAAAATCTCCTTATCTCCTTTCCATTTTCAGCTCTGCAGTCTTTCCAAGTAACATCTTTAGATTTAGCACAGACGAGGAATACAACTAGAAAGTCACCTTTTCATGTTTCATGTTTCAATTTACACAAAATTAATTACTTCATCACATAATTTTTTTTCTTGACCATAAGATTTTACTTCAATGGACAAATTTCTGAAGATTGTTTCAACTTACACAAAATTAATTACTTCATCACATAATTTTTTTTCTTGACCATAAGATTTTACTTCAATGGACAAATTTCTGAAGATTGTTTCAACTTACACAAAATTAATTACTTCATCACATAATTTTTTTTCTTGACCATAAGATTTTACTTCAACGGACAAATTTCTGAAGATTGATCTCTGTTAAGACTACAGTACTGAAGTTATATAATCACCCGTTTTTTGGTGGCCTTATCAAATGTCACAGTATGTCATGCATCAAATGCAAGTCCCTAGATTATAGGTAGGTTGTTTAGTTCTGTTCTATCTGCTGTGCTGCCTTCTTGAAAGAAGTTTGCTACTTTCAAGCCCTGAGAATTCCCTTTCAAGTAATGATCTCACAATTTACTACTAGCTTTTCTCAACTGTTAATGTGGCTTTTGAGGGACCACTAATGGTCTTCCCTCTGTACATCACTCTAAAACCAAAAAACCGGCTTCTCCACTTACATACAGCAAAGCTCTTGGTTATTTTCACTGCACTACACTTTCCTGACCTTTTGTCAGTAGAAAAGGCTCTAGATCCTGATTACATCTATACCACATCTACATGGCAGAAGGCTCACAATGCAATATTTTTGGCTTGCCAGAAGCTGAGACACAGTATCTATCCCTTAGGCACTTCACAGTCCAAGTCCAGTACAAGCAGAGGTGCAAACACATGTTCATTACATGACAGATTCCTGGCTAGCCAACAGAAAACATGTCTCTCCTGGCAGAAAGATGCATCTGTTGAGTGGTCCAGGTGCATGTAAATTCTCACTGGTTGACTGCATGCTAAATGTACACCTGTTGCCTGCCAATTGTTGGACTTAACAAATATAACAAACTTAACAAATATAACAAACTGCCTTTGTAAATAGGGGTTGGCACACATGCTGTGCCTAAATGATTTACACGATTTTACCTTAGACTCATTTCTTTTTCCAGCTTTGGGGAAACACACAGTAATGAAGAGCCAGAGTGGGAGGGAAATATAGAATAATAGTTTGGAGCCAGAATGGGTAGCATTTTAGCAGAAGGAGAGGCCATGGTCCAGTGTTAGTATGGTTCATAGACTCAGATAATATGATTTCTATATAGCAACCTACTGTGTCAGTCAGGAACACAATGGAATTCTCTACAGTTGCAAGGCTTAGTTGTTTCTGTAGGTACTTCTTTTTTAGGTAAACTGAACTCAGGCTACTCACATATTCCAACTGAGTTAGTGCAGGTAATTTTAGGGGTCCTTCTATAAAGATTTTTAGTTCTCTTTAGCTGACAATATTTATATGACCTGGTAAATGGAATACATGGCAGGAGCTACGCCATACTACAAATAAATGTGAAGTTGAGTATGCTTTAAAATGCAGATCTGTTCTGTTTCCTCACTCTCCTTGGGCTTACCAGCTGGCTGGCCCTGAATCCAAGGGAAGTATAATCCTGAATATAAACAGCACAAAAATTGTTATATAAATATATATATGCTTGTCTGGAGCACAAGTCTTATGAGGAGCGGCTGAGGGAACTGGGGTTGTTTAGTCTGGAGAAGAGGAGGCTGAGAGGAGACCTTATCGCTCTATACAACTACCTGAAAGGGGGTTGTGGCGACGAGGGTGTTGGCCTCTTCTCCCAAGTAACTAGCGACAGGACAAGAGGAAATGGCCTCAAGTTGCGCCAGGGGAGGTTTAGATTGGATATTAGGAAAAATTTCTTCACTGAGAGGGTGGTCAGGCATTGGAACAGGCTGCCCAGGGAGGTGGTGGAGTCGCCATCTCTGGAAGTGTTCAAGAAACGTGTGGATGTGGTGCTTCAGGACATGGTCTAGGGGACATGGTGGCGCTGGATTAATGGTTGGACTTGATGATCTTGAAGGTCCTTTCCAACCTAGTGTTTCTGTGATTCTGTGATTCTGTGAAATTGGAATAATTTTTTATCAATTTTCTTACCAATTCGAGTGATTCTATTGTAGGAAAGTTCAAGATTTTGCAGATTTATACAGCCATCTAAGCCACAAACTGACGAAAGACGGTTCTTATTCAGAATCAGAATACAGAGATTTTCTAGATTTTCACAGTCAATTACCTGAATGTTGTTTTCCTGCAATAAAGGAAAATTAGAATATTAAATAGCATCTGAAGTGAAATAGCAGAATTAAGTGTAAAAAGATGGTAGATCATCATCATTGCTTATTTTTATCCTAAACTTCAAGCTAGGAGTAAGGGCATCTCTATTTTTCCATTGGGAAAATAAATTGATGAGTCATAGAAACAGCATTTTGTGTCCTGCTGGGATAGAACAAAAACATATCTTGAACTTCTTTCTGACTCTGAAAACGCCCAGAAGTTGAAAGAAAAAGTGTAAGGAGAAGTTAGAGTGGGCTTTTCCATATGTGCTTTCCTAGATTCCCAAATCCTGGAAGACTGAACTAAAAACTGCAATAGAAACCATCATATTTACTAGACACTAAGGAGGACAGCTATGATTTTGCTGGAATGCTATTTACTAATAGTGACAATCTGCATTTAGAGATATTTTGGTCACAAACATTATCACTGTTCGCAGCTAATGTTCTTCACTCAAGAGATCTTGCTCTTTTAACATCCTCCTTCCCAGGTTATTTTAATAATGCTTCTTGGGATTTTTATTTCACTATTTGCTGCCCTTGCTATTTTCCTCTGGTTTTCCTGCAGATGCTCAAATAAACAAAACTTAAATTGCCTGCCTTATAACAAACCAATTAAGCCAAAGAGTTTAATTCCTATTCCAGAATTAACATGCTGACTAGATTAAGGTGCTACCTTCAGCTGCAGGCAGAGACATGTACAGGTTTCCTTCGGAAGCTGTAACATTGATTCCTATCCTTGGACAGGCCCTTCAGTTGCACCAGTAAGTTAAAGCAGAGAACTGTTATAGCTTCAATGTTAGCTTTTGTATCAACAGAAATGAGGGGCAGTATCAAGTAGTAATGAATGTCCAAGGGAAACAGAGGCAGTTGCTTTAGCTATTTCAGAAACACCCATGAAACAATCTTTGACTGCTTCAACTGTCACAAAAGAGGCTGTTTCTTCATTAAGGCTGAATGGAAGAAAACTACCACACTAGGTGGCACAGCAAAAGTATAAATATTAAAAACATATTATTATTAAATTATTAATAAAGCATAAAGTATATCTAAGAGTTTTCTCCTTAAATAAATTATTCTGCCATATCCCAGTAAGGCAATCCTGTATGTTATTTAAAGCATTAACATTTTAAGATTAAAAAAGCAAACCACAAAACTGAAACTGTTCTGTAAGAGACAATATTTGATCTAAAATAATTCACTATAAATACCTTAGTAATCTACCTAATATCAATCTTAGTAACACTGGCAGCTTAGGTATATATTACACCCTTATACTAATTCTTTGCTCTTGTATTTTGAGGTACCCAGAATTATCAAATCCCAGAAATTATGTTCTGAATAGATAAGAGAAGTGAGAAAAGGATATAGGTATTGCAACCTGCCCTATTACAAAGCTCTAATTACTGGACAGACAACACTTCTTTAACTTTAATTATCGGCTCTCTTCTCCAAATTTAATTAAAAAAAACAAAACCAAAAGTCCCATACTTTGGAAAGAACACCAGTTACTGGGCAAGCAGAAACATTCAAGTTTCTATGAATAATAAGGACATATTAACTTTCTTGTGAATTGGTATTGTTAAAACACATGAAATAAGAAATGTGAACAGAGTTGTTTCATGTAATTTGTCAAGTTCTGGAACTAAGATGCATCACAGAGCAAAATGTTTTCTTTAGTCATTAAATTTACAAGGTCATGTGAGACACTGCAGTAGCAAGTACCTAGACATTATGCCTCTAGTGTAACTCACCATATTCCACGTTCACTCATGTTCCTTGAGCATATATGGAAGTAATTTTAATTAATATTCAAGGTGTGTATTGCAAAGGACTCTTCCTTCTACCTACTCCTGCTTAAGCTGAGCACCTGCTACAGCAAATGGCATTTGCCCACTCATGAATCAGAGAGACTGAGATAACAAAGATCTATCACTGTGCCATACTAACACTATTCCTAGACTGATACTATCAGGCACTTTTCTTAGTATAGCTTGATTCATTTGCAGGATGTTGCTTTAGTACAACACAAAGTGTTATATGCAATGCACATTTCCTGGTATAACTTTGTTCACATTTGCAAGTATTTTGTTGATATTTCTATGTTCTTAAGGCACTAAAAGTTATATATCGAGTCGGACGCAACTGCATAACCACCTAAGCAGCAAAACTGGCAGTTCTCCCCAGCATGTATGAAGAATCAAAAATGCTTGGTACCTCCACATTGATATACTTTAGGTCTTTGCAGCTACTTAGTCCTTCCAGCGCAACTAGTCCGCAGCGTCTCAGAGTCAAAACTTGAAGATTTGAACATTCAGATAACGTGGAGAGGCTACAAGCTGGCAAATCTTCAAGTGTAAGTGCTGTGATCTACATGCATTTATTGATAAATAAAATTAATTGTTTGTGTATTGAACATTCATTGTACAATGTCAAATTATGGTTATTTTCTTTAAAAAGAAAAAGAGACCAAAACTACATTCTACTAACGCTTTAGAAAATGCAAACAACTAATGTTAATCCTTTCATATAGAAAAGGATGGCAATGATGGGTTTGATCTGTTAAATGGGAAAATGTTATTATGAAAAGAATCTGATTTTAGCCTCCACCTTAAAATAAATAATACCGATGCTTTGTTAATGACATTGAATTGAAATGGATGCAAGATTAACACTAAGCAAAGCGGAATAGTGTGAATTGTTTCCCATCACGCTATCATAAATAACAAGTGAGTGAGTATGCAATAGTTCATAAACTATACATATAAAGTGTATATAGTCTAGTATGTTATCTCACAGTGGATACCGTGACAAGAGCACAGAGCAAACATACAGTGGTAAGTTAGTAAGTGGTAAGAAAAGTAAGTGCTGGGAACCAAGAGATGTTCTTTTTGGCAAAATACCATTTATAAGCTGATCAGCAATGTCTTGCTTCTGGAAGAGACTAGTCTTCTCAAAGCTCTAGAGGGGCTAGATGAGCAGGAGCTGAAGTGTGGACCCTCAAAGGCAAGACCATATTAATTTAGCAGAAAATAGGAGCTAGGAGCTCCTGCTTTTTACAGGTTTAAGATGCTTGATCATCTGAAGACTAACACCACACCAGCCTGCTCCACAGTGCTCATAGGAATTCAAAAGTCACTCTCATTGCCCTTACTCTGCACTTGTGCAGAGGAACACTCACTGAGATCTATATTCTGCTCAATTATAATCTCCTCCTGTTCCGAAACAGCATTCTGCTAACATACCAAATTAAAAAAAAAAAAAAAAGAAAAAAGAAAGGGATGGTATGGCTTCCCATTGCATTCTAAATCTTCTGAATAGTTACCTGCTGCAGAGTACTCCAAGGGCCACTATGAATTATCTTTTGTGTATTTAATGGAGGCATCTTGCTAACTGAACTTTTCCTTCGTTCTTTTTTTATAGTAGTTTGCTTTCTTTGGTTTTCTTCAAATATTTTAGACCAAGATTTACATGTGTTCATCCAGTTTATTCTCTTCTTCTGAATATCATCAGGAAGCATGAGTCTATGGGAATGCTCATCTGCATCTTGAATTCTATCCCAGGTCTCTCTGACTTCCTCATTAGCATTTCCTGTTAGAAACGCATTTTCCTTCATTGTTTCAGACTGAGAAAATTGATTTTTGACTTCTCTATTACAAGCATTTGGCTGGACATTTGGTGGACTGCTGCATATATTGTTTGCCTTATTGTCTACCATGTCATTGTCTCCAGAATTATCAGATTCACCCTTTGAAGTATGACTCTTTGGAGCTTTATTAAGATGTCTAGTTTGTGAGTAATTTTCTTCTGCATGTGTTACTGAATTTATGTACATGTTCTCAATATTCACTTGAGAAAAGTGTTCCTTCTTCTCAGAGCCTAGCATATTGGGTCTTGGTGTCATATTTCTTTCTGCTGGAATCATCCAATTATTTGTTTCACCCATCATTTCAGTCTGTTTTTCTTTTTGTTCCTCTACTTGCTTATTTAGTTCCTTTTTCTGTTCTCTTATTACTTCTGTATTTTCTATCTGCTTATCCTTTTTTATGTTTTCTTTGTTGTTTTCTCTCCTTTTACTCATCACAGCTTTTGCTCTTTTTTCTCCTAGTTTTCTCTGTTCTTCTCTTCTTATTTGCAACTGGTTTTCTCTTTCAAGTTTCACGCTTTCTTTCTTTTTCTCATATTCCTCATGCCTCCTCATCTGTTCCAAATGTTCTTGTCTTTCAAGTTCTTCTTGTCTCTTTTTTTCCTCTTCTTTCTTTAGCCTATTTTCTTCCATTCGTCTCTTCATTTTTTCCTCTTTTTCTTTCATTTCTCTCTCTATTTCTTCCAGTATTTTCTGCTTCTTTTTTATTTCATCTTTCCATTCTTTTAAGATGGGAGCATATTTTTTGTGGACTAAAAATGATCTAAATCTAGCTTGGATTTTCACAGCTGCTGTATTCTGTTGTTCTGCCAGGTGTTGTCTTTCTTTTGCTTTCTGCTCTTCCAAGGCCTTTTTCTCCTCTTCCATTTGCAACTGTATTTTCATGATCAATTCCTAGGCCAAAACAATTAGGATAGACTTCAACCACTTTTAAAATAGGGCAGGTGTTGGTACATATTTATCATTAATAAATAGAATCTGGTGTATTTACTGTTCTGGAATAACATTTATTCTCAAACATAAGATAGTAACCTCACAAGCTTTCGTCTTTTGACAAAAGCTCATTGAATCTTACCTCATGTTGCATGATTTTGTCTCTCCAAGCTTTCCTTTCTTTCTGTAACTCACCTTCTGTTGCAGTTTGGTGTTTCTGCACAACAAATTAACTTAAATGAATATTGTACAAAACCTGAAACATCACAAATCACCCTCTCTCCAATGGTCCACTTTTGCAAATGCCTGAATTAAAATTATAAACTCAGCTATGTGAAGATCAAAATAACACTTGCATCGGTAATGCAGATTTGGCCACATACTGAAAGATGCGTACCTTCAGAGAGTCAGCATCTTGGTACTGACCCAAACAACTGCCACCTTCCTCTTCAAATTCTGTACTATTATTGAAGATGAAAACTATGCTTATGAAACAACCATTCAAAGTACAGGTAGATAATAGAAACACAACAGAAATAAACACTCTGAAAGTAGCATGAACAATCCCCCTTTAACTGCAATGGTATGTTATTGATAATCTTAAAATCTCTCAAACACGAATTTTGTTTAGTAAAGCTAAAGAAATTTTTTTCACTGAAATTGTTTCTCAACTGAAAATGAAAGTTCAAGTCTATTTTCTCATTACATGCAAATAAATAGCATTTCCCTCCTTGCCCAACATATTCTCAGTCAGAAGAAAAACCTGAATGATCTGGAATTATATCTGACTGAAAATTAGGAGACAGTAAGTACCTAAAAACCAGAGGCTGATCCAGAACCACATAACTCCTGGTGGAACCAAAATAAATCAGTAGCAGCAAAATCAAATGCACAGCAGGACATGAAGGAACCAGTATAAACAAACTAGCACTTCCAACTTGGAGCACAAAGTCTCCCAGGTGCCTAAGCACTCTTTTTCATGCATGTTTAGAAGCATGCTATTCAGATAATAGGAGGCTAGACATCTAGATCCTTCTGTAATGGGGGAAGTTGGTCTCCATCTTGGACCTCCAAAGAGTGCACTAGTGACAGCACTACCAAGGTGTCTAGACGGGGACATGCCCCACCTTGTCTAGAGAAAGCAAGCCATTCTACATCAAAATTATGTGGGATAAAGAGCAGAGGAAACCTAATCAATTTTATGGCCTGTTGAAAAGTGAGCTATATCAGACACTGAACTTCAGAGATCAAAGGTCTTTTCACTTACTAAGCCCTTCCTTAATTTTGGTGACTTGAATTACCTTGCTGGGACAAAGATGCCCACCTCTTCAGAAAGTTACAAATTAGTTAACTGAAAATGCAGTGTTAATGCATCTCTCAGAACACAAATATTTAAGCTAAATAATAAAATACTGTGGCCCCACAAGTATTATGTGTGAGGGTTACATTCTTACACGTTCTTATGCTCCTTTATGGAGAGCTATCAAATTTTATCCTTCAGCATGCACTATAGCAAAACACAACTAGATACTCGGCAACCAGTCAACATGTGGAGTTATGTTCTGTTGTGGCAGAACTCAGTAGATGATGCCTGACTCAGTTTCCCAAATACAGACAGAAAAGGGAGTATTGCAACTTTTACCTTCATGAAGCACAGCACCAGCATTTCTGAACTGAATGATTTTGGTTCAGATTACTTCACCCATGATTTTTCATCTAAATGTGAAATTAGGGTGGGAGGTCCAAAGTAAGTAAGTATTTTCTATTAAGGTACAATGACCATTTTTCATTTGTGAGTAATTTAGCACAACTCTCGTTTCTGGTACTTTGGTTGGTGTCATAATAGAAAAAGTTAGTAAGGGCAAAGCCTAAAGAATAATTTAACATTTAGCATAGCATATTCATGCACTGTTGATCAAAGCAATAAATGCATAAAACCCAATGGACTGTACTTAAATATGTCTTACATCTCACTTTGGTATCACAAGTAGACGGAGTTTAGGACAGTCATACAGTTTGGGATAGTACTCTCTTTTTCACATTAGATCTTGAATTCAGATAGTCTAGACAGGAACAGATTGGCTTCAATATCATTAATTACCTTATGAAGAAGCTCTAACTTTATTCTTTCAGCCTCAAATTCCTGTAGACGCTGCACCCTTCTTGCATGTTCTTCTTCATTCTGTTTTTCCTGTGCTTCCCTCTCAGCTTTCCACTTTTTCCTCTCCTCGTCTTCAAGCTCCTTTTGTGTTTTCTCCCACTGCTCAAATTCTTGTCTACACTTTTCTTCTACTTCACGATGAGTAAGGCTTATGCTCATTTCAACATCAGCTATGAATTTGTAATAAACCAAGCAAACCTTTTATTCAATTTCCTAATAAGCACTGGGGGACATTAAACAGTCTTAAAGTATTGACAAGGAAAGGCTTCTGTGCTGATACAGCCAGCAACATATATCCACATACATAATGTGGAAATCAGAACTACAATGCCGCTCTTTTCTATCGGACGTATCTTATTATCATGACACAGACTTACTGACTCTGCTACAATCATGCTTATTCTACCAGTGCATATTTCAGGATTACAATTTGGTTTCAGGATGAATGCCTTCTGTGGCTATCAGTAGGGGTTTGATAACTGATGCACTCCACCCCAAAACATGCAAAGGCCATGGTGAAGGGAAATGTTCCCAGCCAACACAACTATAAAAAAAGTAAAAGAAGTTGTGGCCAAACCACAACCTGCTTTGTGCCTCCAATCTGGCTTCCATTTGTATTCATAATTATTTAAAATCACTTTTGGGTAGTGTTTTTTGAAATAAATTTCTATCAGGACAGTAAAGACTAGGATAATTTTGTGATCCTGAAATGAAATAAAAGCACAGGCATTTGCTCATGTCCAATTAATGACGTATCAAAATCTATTGCATACTGTAATGTGTAATTCTTTACAAAGAATGTTATGATACTCTTGAAAACAAAAAATCAGGAAATAGTGATATGATGCTAAAGATCAACTCAGCCAAACAACTAATGCGTTTGCTTACCTGTAACAAAATGGTCATCAGTGACCACTTCATCACTGGTGGACTGACTATTATAACTACATGTTGTAGCAATCTGCAAGTCTTCATTTTCAATTTCAAGTAGTACCTAATATAGTTTAATATTGTCATTAAGAACGAAGAAGCAAAATTAAAAGTATAACATTATAAAAATTTCCAGAACAAGGATAAGCTTTTCATCATATGACAAGTACAATAATAAGAAACTTACTACTGACTGGAATCCTTAGACACTGAATAATGCAAACGTATCAGTCAAAATATTGTTTTCTTGAGTAATAAATATTGGAGTATTTCCCCAAAAGCATAATATTTCTATGTGGCTTTTTAATATATTTTACATTTTGTCTTGGAAAAATGAATGTTTTGCATTTGGGACTTGTTTTACTTTCTGTGGAACTAAACACTATATTTATGCATTAATACTGTTATGCACATAGGGGAAGAACTAGTTACAGAGTAAATTTTTAAGAAGTCTATTTTAAAATAATGCTATGGGCACAAAGATTGCTATATTTCTTTCTTTGTTCTTTATTGGCAAGGAGTAATCTACTCCTGCTCATTTATCATCTGTTTATCACATGCTTGGGGCATATATTAATATTTGTAATGCAGCTGAAGTCACATAAATTGTGCTGTTCTAAACAATAGTCTTCTGAGAGCAAAAAATCATGGTTGCAAAAGTGCTCACTAATAAAAGCCAGACGACAAATTAAAAGTGATTAAATTATATACAGGTTTATGTTTTTTAAGAACTTCAGCAAGTTATTCAGTCAAATCCTATGAAAATATAAAAGAACTCAGGCTCATAACTCTTGATTTGTCTTTGAAACTTATAGACATTATTATGTTTACATTTTATATAAAATAATGGAATATATTAGGAGCAAGATTAATAGTAGCACATCAGCCTGATCATCATAAAAAGAATAAGATTAGAGAAGTTTAAAAGTGTTAGCATACTATTAGGATAATATTCTACAAATAATTAACAATATTCAGTTTTGTTTAATTTTGTTAATTTTTGTGCTCAGCATCTCAACTACTGATGCAGATAATTTATTCAAAATTTTAAAACTTATAGACATGGTGTATTACAGCTGATGTCCCAGTTCTAAAGAACTGCATATACAAACTCTTCTTAATACTTTATGGATAGTTTTACAGAAACAGAACTGAACAAATCTTGGTCTCCTTAGGAGGCCAACAAAACAAATTTAAGTTATCTAGATTACTTAATAGAATTTTGTTCACCATAAATATTGTTTAAATAGGGAATACCCTTTTTTTTAATTCTTCTGGATCTTCATTATATTCCAAAGCCAATTCTGCCAAGTAATCTGAAGCATGGCAGGAAACTACTCCATAAATGTTATCTAAAGAAGAAATGAATACATAATTTAGTACACAGAGAGAAAATCCCATATCAGTACTCAGTTCTGCTCTATACTGCTTAGCTACTATATTTCTTTACGCTAAAATAAAGCATTTTCTCCTTTAAAACTCTTAACCCCCACCCTTCCCAATTTTACTCAAATATATTTGGGAGTCATTCATCTACATTAAAAGCAGCAAATATGTGTAACTGGAACAGACACAATGATATTGTAAGAATCTGGTGACAGCAAATATGAAAGAGAATTCCAGAGCATAGAACACAGGAGAACATTTTCTGTGCAGAAAAATACAGTAGAATTTGTATCAGATAGGTCAAAAACTGAAAAAGAACTACAAAAATAATGAAAAAGTGTCCAGTACAAAAAAAAGGATAAAAAGAAACTTTTCTCAAATATCAAAACGTATAGACAATATGGAACTTTTGCTCACAAAGACCATTACACTAAATGAGTGTGAAAGCCAAGATGATGTGAAAAACTAGAACAGAACAGACAATGCCAGCTCTCTGGCATATAAACTATGAGCTTGGCTTCAGTCACAGAGCTGACACAGCACTATTGTTCCCAGTTACAAGGTCATTTCATTTAATGCTAGCTTGGATATCTCTAAAGACAGACTTTAAACACATCCTATGGTGTTCAGTTGTATCTGAACTCTTAACTTCAGCTCCTAGTGACTTCATTTTAAATTCTTATGAAGAGTCTGGGCCAGGTCCTGTTTCAGAGAGTGATCCTGCAACTTGCCTCGATCTATGGTTTAGCATCAGATGCGTTTTTAGAAAAATTCAATTCATACTCAGATGTTAATCCTAGAAGACAGCATTGCATGGTTTTATTCCTATTCAGCATGCATTCAGAAGCTGATGCAATAGATTTCACTGCTTGCTCTACTTATGAGTTTGCATTGTTTTACTGGTGATTGTTAGTCTACCTTCCACTGGCAAGATGAGGTACATCAATATTTTAACTGTGATCCCTGCTTACTTGTAGTTTCTTCATCTTCTAAGTCTTGCAGTATAAGCTTTTCAGCATCTTGATTTCTGCTCTTTATAAAGTTTAAATAGGAGAGAACTGATTCTGGCAAGTCATCTGAAATCTAGAAAAACACTTTATTTTGACGTAAAGTCTACATTTTAATCTCACAAATACATGACATGCAAGAATAGACTAATTTTGGCTTCACCTATAAAGCACTGATGGAGATTTAGTACCAGTTCCTACCAAAATTGTTCCAAATTCATACACTTTTTCCATTGTCTTATCACCCACTGCATAATTAATAATTCTCATTTTCAATTATGTTCTAATTAAATTTTTATTGGAACACATTTTAGCAACTTATCTTTCAGTATCTTCAGAAACATATTTCAATTAACATTTTCATTATAATTGTGTTGGACCAAGAAATTAAGGAAAAGGTTAAAACAAAAATTAACAAATACCTATGATGCACATGAAATTTTTCTTAAAAATATTCACTCTTCAAAAAATAAAAATTAGTTCTAAATTTACTAATGTTTAAAGTATGCATGTAAATCAGATGCTTCAACTTTCTTTATTACATAGATACTTCCTATTCAAAAGATTGTCTTTTACTGCAAGGATTTGGGAAAATGGACTGCCTTCTCTCAGATGTGTAAATTGTGGTAAACATTGCTGGCATTCAGTATGTCAGTGCATAAATAATTATCACTGATGCCTTTGCCTATCTTTATGTCACATCGAACATATGATTTATGGTCACATGTGACCAATATCATCTACCCTAATATCCTACAGATCAATCCTTTTGCTACGAGTCTGAAAGATTAAAATAACTGAAAAAGACCCAAATAACTGATGGGATTTCAGAGGAAAATCTTGCCCCAAAATGAGAAGTGATCCAAAAAAAGAGGATTTGAAGCACCAATTTATATGAAATTAGTATCAGGAAGTCTTAAAAAATAAGACAGTCTCTTGTAAGATTTTAAATGAAGAATCACTGGCTTATTCATCCAGATTTAATTTACTTCATTAGCTTTAATAACATCTGCCAGCTTCAGAGGATTCTAAAACAAATCATTATCTACACATCCGATTTTCTTACTTAAGCAGAATGCTGATATTCATCTCTTTTATTGTCTTGTCACCATTGGTGGTTACATTTTTCATGGAGCAATACTATTGAGACTACTTTTCAGAAGAAATCCTCAGGTTAGGTATGTCAGTTCATTCATCAGAGAAGGCTTCCCAACGCCCGTACTACTTTGAAGCAGAAATAGAAGCAGTTTTAGCCCACTGAATACTTACTGTCTCACTGTCACTCAAAGCGTCATCTGATACCTCTATCTCAGGATCATCTGCTTCAAAAGAGGAAACACTGATTCTGCTTAATTCAGTTTCTATTTCTTTTTCAATTCCTTCAATATCTTGTGACATTCTACTTTCCGCAGCGTCTTATCTGCTTTCAAAGCTACACAGAGAAAATATTAACTTTCAGCACTGCATGAACCAAAATGTAGAGGGTGCTCATTTAGCATAACTTTATTCAAACGTATTTATTGAGCAGTTGCCTTAAAACATGAAAAGGAATGTTTGTTCTGAACACCTCACTCCATACCAACAAGCAAAAAATAAGAAAAACATTACTTTGTGATAAGAGAATCCCCCATCTGTCTACCCCTCTAAATTTTGCAAGCGTTACCAAATTCGGATATTAAAAACCTCTGCTTGCTCTCTACTCCTTGTGGACAGTACCAGTGCCATGACCTAAGCCACACAAGAGGGTTTTTTTTCCATCCCTAACAGCTGCAAAGGAAAAAAAAAAGCTTCAAACAATACATATGAACAATTACAAAAAACCACTATGAATCCAGAAAGCACTCTAAGTTGGAATGATACAGAGAAAGCAGCAAGAAATGGCCTAACCCACACAAGTACACCACTTGTAGATGGATCCAGGCAGGAGGAGAAGGGGTCCCTTGCTGTCCCACTCTCCCTCTGCAACCCGCATCCCTCTCCTCACCCCTAGCCCCAGTTAAGGGACAGGGGAGGCAGCCCAGACCCGATCCATCAGAGGCTTTGAGCAGGTCCTCGTCCGCTGCTGGCTCCTGGAGCAGAAGAGACACGCTGAGCGCATCACAGCCGTGAAGGCGCGAAGCAGTTCTTCTCTGAGAGAAACTACACCTCCCAGAAGGCATCGGGAGGAAAGAGCCGCAGCCCACGACTACTTCCCGGAAAGACCGAGGAGCCACCCCTTTGCATGCTGGGAGCCGTAGTTTGCCCCTCAGGGCACACTTAGCCCTCCGGTCTCCACGATCTACTCCGTGTAGCCACTCACTTCTCGTTCAGCCGAGCTCTTACCGGAGACCCCGCCTTCCTGGCCACCTCCGGCGACCGACTGCCCCTCGGCCCTGAAATGCCGCAGCCCTCAACCTCTCCCGATCAGGCCCTCCGCGGGGACGACGAGAGCCCCGCCACCGCGCCTGTTAAACAGGGAGCGTCACCACGGCAACGGGGAGCAAGCGGCTCGGAAGGCAAGTGGGAGGACCCAAACTTCTCGAGCAGTTGGTGTTTCGCGCCGGTGCAGCGGCTGGCGGCTGCCCTCGGAAGGCTGCGCGTCGCGGTCGTCGGCGTGGCACGGAACACCTCGCAGCCCTTTTTTTCGTGTTTTTTTTTTTTTTTTACATTTTTTAAAAATTTATTTTAAGTAATGAACGGGAATTTAGTGTTCAGAATAAATTGGAATCGGCAATTAATCGGAAAATTAAAAAAAAAAGAATAAAAGCAGACCAAAGACAAAGTATAGTAAAGGTGGATTAAAATACAGTGCTTTTGCTTCATGTTTGCCAGGAGAACTCCAGAGGCGTGAAAATTGAAAAGCCGTCAGACATGCCTTCCGTGTTTATGCGTTGGAGCCGCGTCGTGGCTT